GTTTTAATATAGAGTATGTATATTCTACACACACACACAAACACAAAGCAGGAATTATTTTCATTGACTTAGTGGTTGTGAAGTTCTCTTTAACATACAAAAGGAGATACTTTTGTTTCTTTTGACTTCCCCCTTCTCCCCTGCGTCTCTCCCCCCCCCCCCCCCCCCCGCCCGCCCGCCCAATTCAAATACCAAAGTGTTCTTATTATTGCCCCAAGAGAGGGTACATTCTTGGGGGGAGGGGGTGGGAGGCAGAGATAAAGAAGAAAGAAAAGCCAAGCTCTTCAAGGGGAAAGGAAAAAAACCCGTCTGGGAATCTCAAGAACATCTTTATTTCGCCTTTTAACTCCCCGCCTTTCTGATTAAAGAGTTCAGGCCCGCTCCCCCCGCCCGCGCTCAATTATCCCCCAGCATCCTTTCTCTGGAGCTGTCACCACCACTTGCTGAACCGCGGGCCCCACCGCGAGCCATTAGCCCGGCTCTTTTCCGTTTCGCCTTTCTTTCCTCAGTTTCTCCCGGCGCGCTTTATAAATCTCCCTTGGAAGGAGGAGTGTCCAAAGCGGGTGGAAGCCTGCACACAATGCAACCTGAGAATTTCTGTCACTCTCTGCATATGCTCCTAAGTGCTTTAATCCCAATTAGGGGCGGCTGACACACGGTCCTATTCATTCCCATCGGCTCTTGAATACATTTGCCTAGAAATGAACTTCACAAACAGAGGCGCTCCTAAATGTGCCCAGCAGCAAGGAAAATCGAATTGAGTGCGGGCTCCTTCGGCGGCGGCGCTCAGTGTGGAGGTGCCCCAGACATTGCCATTCAGCACCACGCTCGCTGACTTTTCTTTGCACCATGTCAACCGCAAAGAACCAAGAAGTAAGTTGGGGAACTCCGGTTAAAAGGCAACTTGAGAGGAACTCTGAATATATTTGCCGAGCCGCTCCCAATGAAGGACTTATAAAAAACAACAACAACAACAACAACAACAACACACACACACACACACACACACACACACACACACACACTCCAAAAAGGCACCATAAAACCCACTAGCGGCGTCCGGGCTGCGTCCGGAGGCGCGATCGGAACCTCCCGGCCGCGGTGCACTCACCGGCCCGCACCCACCCGCCCCGCCATTACCGGGGAGCACGGCCCCGCTACCGGCGTGTCATCTGGTGGCGTTCCCAGAGCCGCCGGAGCCGCCGCCCATCCAGGCCCGGCCTTAATGTCCCACCCGCGCCTCCGGGGCCGCGCAGCTGGTCCGCGCTGCCCCGGCGGCCTCGCGGGCGCGGACATCCTGGCGGGGATGGGGGTAGGGGGCGGGGGATGCGGCCCGGGCCATCGCAGACCCCAACTCCTTCCTGCGCGTCTCCAGCCTTTCCCCTCCCTCCCCTCCCGTTTCTCCCCCGCCCCTCCACCCCCTCCTCCGGGGCTTTGCCTGTAGTCCCAGACTCCAAGCACCTCCAACTCCGGGTGCGGCATCCGCGCACCGCCGGAGTCGGGGCGGGGAGGTGAGAGACGGAGAGGGGGTTTTTGACTCTCTGAGCCCTAGGGCCACCCCCTAGTCCCCACCTGAGGCTCCAGAGCTTTGCGTCCCCGGGGCCCGCTGCCCTGGCGAAAGGTGATCCGAAAGAAGCGGCTGATCGCAGCCCCGAATTTCCTCGAGGCGGAGTCCCGGGAGGTCACACGTGTGCCGGGCGGGCTGCAGGGACCCCGGCGCTTGCACGCAGCCCGGCCGGCGGCGGGAGGCGGCTCCGAGAGGCGCCCCTCCTCGGGCTGCTGCGAGGAGGATCCGGCCGCACCTGGGCTGCCGGTTCCGGGACACGGGTCTTGCCTGCGTGATCCCGCGGTGGGCAGAGCTGGGCGACCTTCCCCCCCCCCCCAAACCGCTTCTCCCCGCAGGTCGGTGCAGAAGGGATTTCGCTTTAACGGGGCCTCTGGACGCCCATTTTTAAGTCCATAAAAAAAAAAAAAAAAAAAAGCCTGAGTGGAATGTTTTGATTGAGTCTCAACATTGTCTCTGAATAAGGCGGAGACCATGTAATTAATGTGTCTTTTTAATAAGGGACAATACGGCCGTTCAAGCTATTTAATTTCATTTAATTTTCCATCCCATTTGCTGCACAGCCCGCCTTTACTTTTTAACACCCAGCCTTTCATGGCCCATCTTGCTCCACTGGGCACATTAGATTGGTTTCACCCCTTGCTTTTTTAGGGGAGGAGAAATAAAAGAAAATGTGTTCCTTTCCTCCTTTGTGGACAATTTATTTCACTTGGGGAACTTCAACTCGGAGCCACAGGACAGAAGAAGACTGGACGAGCTGGTGTGAATGCCTCTGGCGCAGTCTCTTTCTTCTCTCCGGGCTGGGAACCAGCCACAATCGGCCATATTAATAAATAACTTTCCTCACAGTCGGCCTTTACATGGTCCTATTGATAAAATTGTTCGCGTGTCGTTCACGCTTTTTCACTCATTAAGGAGGTCCAGGGAGGAGCCGGGACCCAGGCCCCGCGCTCGCCCCTTTCCCGCTCACGGAGCTGGTAATTTAAACTGGGTGTCATCCCGGAGTCGCCAGGCCAGAGGTTAGAGGGACATGTTCATGGCTTAAATTTATTGGCCTCGACTCTGCTGAGCGGTTTCCTCTCCTCCTCCCCTCCCCAGGCTTTTGCCATTCATGGGCCCCAGGATCAAAGGTTCCCTCCTCTCCTCTCTGCCCAAGCAGCCTTGGCGGCTGGCAGAGGGGCATTTGGGGAGGTCCAAGGACAAATCAGCGCGTCTGGGCAGGGTGTGGCCGCAGGGTCAGAGGCCCACCAGCTCCGCCCCAGCAGCTGGGTCCACACATTCCTTGGAGTTAGCACCTGAGGCTGGCCAACCACGTGTCCCTAGACCTGGCCTGGATTCCCCCATTAAGCAAACCACACGTTTTTTGTTTTTTTTTAATATATATATATATTTTATTGATTTTGTACAGAGAGGAAGGGATAGAGAAAGAGAGCTAGAAACATCGATGAGAGAGAGTCATCAATCAGTTGCCTCTTGCACACCCCCTACTGGGGATATGCCCGCAACCAAGGTACATGCCCTTGACCGGAATCGAACCCAGGACCCTTCAGTCCCCAAGCCGACGCTCTATCCATTGAGCCAAACCAGTCTCGGCGAACCACACGTTTTGGAGTGTCCCAAACCCATTCACTCTACCCATCCTGGCTATTGACCTTCACAAGCTGAGTGGGTGGCAGCCTAGTGGTTCATCATCATTCCCATTTTAAGGATTAGGAGACTGAGGCTGTGTCCTGAGTGACAGAGCACAGACTTAATGATCCCAAGTCTCAGGACTGTGTCCAGTACTGTGACCTCGGGCCTCACTCGGAGCTTCTCTGAGGGCCTGGTGGGACAAACTGCGGAGGTACAGGTGTCGCCACCTCGCGTCCTGCCACCGTCGTTAGTCAGCCAGGTGGTCAGCAGCTGGAGGAGGACACCTTCCTTGGGCAGGGGAGAGCCAGTGGGGAATCCCCATGGGGCTGCTGGGAGTCCTCCTCCCATTCGGACAGCGGTTGGGGCCAACTGCACCAGCCAGACACCCAGAGCCCTCTGGCCTCGCCTGGAATTCTTCGTCAGGCGCAGAAGTCCATAGGATTTGGGGAGATGTGCCAGGGATTAGCAAAGCGTGGAGCAGAACTGATGAACTAGATTCCTTGGCTATATCTTAGGAAAACAAATGTCCTCACACCAATCAGAGTCTTTCCTAAGTGAAAACCAGGAGCGCTCCAATTTAACTCCGAAGTACCTGTTCTCCAGTCATACACTGGCCTAAAGGCGGGGGCTTCTAACACTCACCTCAGCTCCTCCCCTCCCACCTTTGATAGAGGTTGTTGTTGATTTTTTAAAAGAAAACTTTGGTTTTTTGGTTCTTAGGAAGTTAGACCCAAGGACTTCTCCCGTTTTAAACTTAAAAGCAAACCAGGATTTGAAGCAGTTGTTTGGCCTGTGTGTGTGTGTGTGTGTGTGTGGTGTGGGGGCATGATTAAAACACATGCAGTGGGCAGAAGCGGATGCTGTCAGCTTATGGGGATACCACGCAAAGCTGTGTCCTTGCGGCTGCTTCCCATTCTCTGGAGGAGTGCAGGCCCCATACCCAGAGCAATGATGCACAGCTGACCTGTCTCCCCAAACTGCTGCAAGCGCTTCACATTTGGGGGCGAAACTGGACAGAGGGAACATAAAGCTGTTCTAAGGACTGTTCAGAGGACTGGCCTGAACCCAACCCCCTGAAATGGTAATATGGCTGTTATTTAAAAAGTGTAGGTATTTTCTGGTGTTTTCCCATCAAGTACCTGCCTAATTTCTGTATGGCACACGCCAGAAATCAATAGAAGTTAACAAGTCCTCCAAACAGTCCCCATCTCTTTGTTTAATCCCCTTTACAATAAAGCCAAGGGGAGAGAATGAAGAATCTTTGAAGTAGTCCAAGGCTCAAAGGAATCAGCCAAGTAGACTTAAAGTAGTCACTTATTTCCCAAAACTGGTTTGTCGGCCGCACAATACAAGGAAGCAAAATTTATGGAGAAATTATACAGTGGATTTGTCACTTAAAATATCGTAACTGTCTCGGGGACAATGCCCCATGCTGAGGATTAATGGTCCCGCCGGACCTTTGATTCACCAGCGCCTTTTCTTCGCCCTTGACAAATTGGGTTTTTAGGAATGGGAAGGTCGCCGGGACCATTGTGCGCCAGCCATTCAGAGGGCTCGATTATGCAGGGGGCTGAGGGAACCGCTCCATGTGACCCTCTCGGGTGGGGACTCCGCAGCTGCTCCACCGCGCAACTCTCTCACCAAACTCCTCTGAGCCCAAAGGCGCCCGCCCCGATTGAAAAGGCGAAGGCGCGGGCCCCGCAGCGTCACTCGGGGGCGGAGGACGCACGTCGGGGCGCTGCTCCCCGGCTAGCGAGCCACTCGGGCTCTGTCACCCGAGCCCCGAGGAGGACCCGGAGCAGCGATGCTCGGAGCGGCCCGCGCCCCGGCCGCCAGCGTGAGCGCTGACTGCTGCATCCCCGCCGGCCTGCGCCTGGGGCCGGTGCCGGGAACTTTCAAGCTGGGCAAGTACCTGTCCGACCGCAGGGAGCCCGGGCCCAAGAAAAAGGTATTAGCCATTCTGACCTTGGACCCTTGTCCTTGTCCTTCGCCTCCCTTTGCCCCGGCCTCGGAAGCGGGTAGATGGGAAAGGGGTGATGGAGAGCTCGTTACCTGAGAACTCTGCCAGGTAGAAGGGCACTCCGATGACTGCCCGAAAGTCCAGTCACTGAGAGCTGAACATGGGCCGGGCTGAAGGAAGAGGACGTGGCTGAGAGGAGACAGCCCCCGGTGGGGGCAAGGGGCTTTTTGCGTGCCTGTGGGGACCACTCGGAACCGTGGTGCTCCGCAGCTCTGGGGTCTCAGCAGGGGCGCGGATGTCCCTGGCCTCTTTCCGCAGATCCCCCCCCCCCCCCCCCCCCCCCCCGCTTTACTACGCTCAGGGCGTTGTGGATTTTCGTTACCTCTTTCCTTCAATTTGCTTATTTGAGGCTTAAATTGACTTAGCATAATTTAATCTCATCTCCGAAAAAATGATCCTTGGGAAACTTTCAGTTCCCAGATCCTCCCCACATTTCTCTTTCCTCGGATGCCTGCTTGTGGGGTTGGGGTAATGGATGGAGGGTTAGCTTTGATGCGGGACTCTGAGAGCCCAGGGTCATAAAGGGAGGTGTCAAGGCGAACCCGCCAGCTTTCACTCCCCATCAACATGGCAAAAGCTGACCAGAGAGGGGTTTTGGAGGCCCCTGCCCGCCCCCAGGAGCCCCAGGCAGCGTAGTTCTGAGAACAGCCCCCAGGAAATGAAGGTGGTGGCGGTGGGGATGTGTGTGGTGGGGAGGCGGTGGGCCAGGGCCCTAGCGCTGGCTGGCCGCTGCCTGGAGCTTCCCTGTAAGAAACCCCTCAGGTGCTCAGCCAGCAGGACGCGCCTCCGGCTGCTCACCCGGGCGCGTCCTTTCCTCCGTGGTCCAAAGCCTGGTCGGCACCTCCGCGCAGTGCAAGGGGGATAGGGGTGGGCTGGATTGAGAGGGGCTGGGGGACACGGACTCCCAAACATCACTACCCTGATCATTGAACCACGGGAGGAAGAGCTAACGTGAGGGTGGGGGTGTCTTGGTATAAAAACGCGCCCAGGCGCTCCGGAGAGTTTGTGCTCACCCCTAGTGTCGCCAAGGTGGGCGAGAGGGAGGGCTGTTATCCTAGACAGCCTCCCCTCTCCCCCCCTCTCCCAAGCAAAGGTCCTAAGTCATTACCCTCCTCCCAGCAGCCTGCAGCGATCTGGCCAAAGGGAACACAACCATGTACCAGAACAGGGTGGGGTGGGGATGGACTTGCCTTCTGGGCTGTGGGCCTGGCTGTGGCGCGGGAAGAACCACCACTGCTTGTGTTGCAGGTGCGCATGGTGAGAGGGGAGCTGGTGGACGAATCGGGGGGCTCCCCTCTGGAGTGGATAGGGTTAATCCGGGCAGCCAGGAACCCCCAGGAACAGACTCTGGAAGCTATTGCAGACTTACCCGGAGGACAGGTACTGTGGGCTTCCCACTGCCAATTCCATCTACCTGACCGCCACCGATGTTAGGAGTAAAGCGCTTTAGCTCCAACTCTCATTTAACCATCCCAGGTAGATACTATCATTTTCCCCGATGGAGGAATGAGAGAAGTGAGATTCAGAGAGGTCCTATAGTTTTTCCAAGGTCACACAAGGTCTGAACCGGGATTCAAACCTTTCCTGCCAGTTGTGTTTTTGACCGATTACCTAGGAAATGACAGCAAACTGTCCTGTTCCTTGCATCCCAGATCTTCTACCGAGCGCTGAGAGATGTCCAGCCAGGGGAGGAGCTGACCGTGTGGTATTCCAACTCTTTGGCTCAGTGGTTTGACATCCCTACAATTGCAACTCCAACACACGACGAGAAAGGTATGCCTCTGAGAGGGCCTGAGAATGATATGCCTCTGAGAGGGCCTTTAGGACAGACCGGGTGGGGAAGAGTCCACCCTTCCCTGGTCTTTGGGAGCCCTCCCCAGACTTGAAAAGCCTTTCTCTTGCTTTGTGTAAATTATGAACTTCATGGGCATCACCGTTCCTATTGCATATTTAAATAGACAATTATTTACTCAATTAAGAACCAGTAACCCCAATTGGTTTGGCTCAGCAGATAGATTATCCACCCTCAGACTGTAGGGTCCTGGCTTCGATTCTGATAAAGAGCACAGGTACCTTGGTTGCAGGCTCAGTCCCTGGCCCTGGCTGGACGCATGCGGAAGGCAACCAATCCATGTGTCTCTCACATTGATATTTCTCTCTCCACCTTCCTTCCACTCTCTCTAAAAATCAATGGAAACATATCCTTGAGTAAGGGTTAAACAAACAAATAAAAAGAATCAATAAAGAACCTGTGACATATTTTTAGGGTGATCACATCATGAGCTCCAGAAAGCACAAACCTAGAATGCTTTTAGAAGGTGGAAGGCATCTCTTCTCCCCCGGTTAGAAGGAGAATAATGTATTTCTGCAGCATTTTAGAAGCATTACGGTACTTACAGCTGGTCAGTTGGCAAGTAATGAGGCTCTTCCATTTAAATGGTATTTATGCACTTTCCTCTCCCTACTTAAATCGAATTTGGGATGTATCCCAGTTTCTTCTCAGATTTATTTGATCCCTTCCAAAGCCAAGAGTGGATTTTATGCAAATTAAGGTGCAGTAACTAAAGAGAAAACATTTCAAAACTTTCCCCAAACACTGAAGAACACTTCCTGTGGAAAAAGCTGGGAGGTGTTAAAGTAGTTAAGATCCAAAAACTCCCTTTTAATGCTTCCATGACTTTTTTCCTTGCCAATTGTTTATCTGTAATTTTCCCTGAAGACTCAGTTAATATTTAAAGTCAACATGATACATGCTTTGAAATATTTTAGCATGCTTTCCTCCTGAACTGTTTGTTCAGTCTCATATTTTTATAAATAGGGTTAAAGAAAGGAATCTGAATGTGGGAATTAAGAAACACTTCATCAACAAGGCAGAATAAGTTCATTCAAACAATGAATTGCTTCACTTCAATGTATCTCTGTCTTCTGTAAATTAATTTATTGATTTTTTGTGGGTAAATTTGTATGTACAGTGTTCATAAAAATTATCCTCAAGTAGTTTGTTACTTGCATCAGATTATATTAAATTCTCTTGTCAAATTCTTCCTGTGAAAGAGAAACATGACCAGAGCTCTATAGTGGAGAACTTAAAAGTCTGGAACTACAAACCAATTCTGAGGGCTACTGGCCTCTAGGGGCCATGCATTTTTGCACAAAACAGCCTTCCTCCGGAACCCTAAAATAGGATAAAGGCAACTTGTTTGAGTGTTGGCCCTCATGCTTTCATTTCAGCCAAATAGAGCTACAAATGTCAAATAGTAACAGATGCCAAAATAGACACCATGTTCCTTTGGGCGAATGTATGGGTTATTTTGAATCCTGACTTCCCACCTTTGAGATGCTTGAAAGTTTTTTTTTTTTTTTTTTTTTTTTTTGAGATGCATGAAATCTTGACAACCTTAGGGTTACATAAAGGAGAGTAGGAGAGGTCACTTCTGAAGTATGTTATTAGATACTTTTGGCATAGGTTGGATTTCAGAATCCAGAGAACATGTCAGTTGGTTAGGATTAACTGAAAAAGAAATATATTGGAACTGAAAACATACATTTGCTTATGTCTTAAAAAGAGGAAGAAATAAGTAGGGATGGCTGCTATTGGTCCAATATTCATTAATTCCAGTGAATTTCAATTCCTTAGTAAGATTAAAGAAAATACTGACCCTTTGTTTTAGGAACAAAGCTTACTTGGCTTTGCATTGTGCTAGTCATTCTGGGCATCCCCTGAAAACTCCTTTAAAAAGTAGTGAGAAGCCAAAACCAGTTTGGCTGAGTGGATAGAGCGTAGGTCTGTGGACTGAAAGGTCCCAGGTTTGATTCAGGTCAAGGGTATGTACCTTGGTTGGGGCAATCCCCCATAGGGGGTGTGCAGGAGGCAGCTGATTGATGATTCTCTCTCATGGATGTTTCTAACTCTCTATCCCTTTCTCTTCCTCTCTGTAATATATATATCTGCCTTGCATCAGATTATATTAAATATATATATATATATATATATATATATATATATATATATATATATATATATTAAAGTGGTGAGGAGAGGGAGGTTCTCAACTTAAGAGAAGGGAGTTATTTAAAAGATTAAATCAGCATACCTACCAAGAGAACCCAGGTCTCTTCTCTCTTTCCTTCAAGATTTATTTTACATGGTTGTTCAATACAGTGTAACAGAAATGTTGAAAAAATCTTATCCAAGTCTTTATCCTAACCAATTGGGATAGGATCTGAAAGCAAATCCTCCCCCTCCCTTTTTCTTTCTGCTCTCCCTGTGGTTTCAGCTGGAATAAACTACTTCTTACTTGAATTTTCACTTTAGTTATCTGGGAGGTACTACTTGCTTTGGGCAAAGCCAGAAGTAAAATACACGAAGGGAGGAAGATCTATATCCCCCCCCCCCATTACTATTTTGTAGTAATGTTTTAGAAAGTTGTGCTTCTTAACTGCATGGAGGGAAAATTTAGCTCTTCCATTACATTTATTGAGACTGACATTTACTTTGTATATTTCCTTTGTGGCTTAGCTAACTTTCTTTTCCACATCAATCCTTCCCTTCAGTATGATCAATAAATGCTATTACCAATAACATTTAAAAAGACATCCAATTGCAAATCATTGCTCTCTGTACAGAGGCAACATGACCTTTTTGAATGAATATTAACTACCATCATGGGGTCAGAATCTGTTTCATACATGTACCTCTTGATTATGTTCACAGGCCCTGCGATAAAATAAAAACAGCTAATGTTCATAATATTAAACACACAAAAAATATGTGACAACAAAACATGTACACAGATCCTAGTAGACAACTGTGAACTTATTAAAGGACTTCACTAAGTTTGGATTTGTGTAGCTATCTAGGAATTAATTAATTAAAAACCCGACAACATAACCCTTCTGTTTTTAGAACATCAGGACATGGGACTTTTTCTTTTCTCCCAGCAAATTAAGTGGGGTTAAAGAGGAAATAAAGATACAAATAATTTAGAAGAATAGTGAATCATAGTCCCTATGTGGTCCTTCAGTTGGTCACGCTCCAGGAAAACCTCAGGCAAAGTGTTTAAGGCTGGGAGGGGGTGTAGAGGGTGGGCCGTGGGCTAAAAGACATTGTTCTATGAAAAGGGATGATTACATATGGCCCATACATACAGGATATTGTCTCGCCTGGTAATGAGGCGCTCACGACCATTAGATTGTTCTTTGTTTAGTTTATCCAAACTCCTTGACATACGCCACCTATTTTGCAAAAGCCAACAGATGGGCCCAGGCACAGCACAGCCTCAACACTTGATTTAAAGCAACAGCTGCTCTCTGCTCTGTCTCTTCCCTGGCCAGTCTGCCCAGGCTCTGCTCTCCCAATGAAGATTTGCTCCCATGGCCGATGGCCTCCAGAGAAAGCCAAATCACCTCTCTTGGCCTCTAAGTAGTTCCAGAGGGTGAACATGACGACAAAGTTGGCCATTTAGGATTTCTCTTGACCTTGCTCTAGAGAGGCTACCGAACTCAATTATTTCCGGGGATCCAGAATACTGCTTCCCCCTATATAACGCTGGTTTTTGCCTTGGGTGCGCTGGCGCTTTCTATCCTGCTTGTTCGCCTCTCACAGGGTCGCTTTTCTACTCTCTCTCGCCCAGGGGAGGAGCGCTACATCTGCTGGTATTGCTGGAGGACTTTCAGATACCCCAACAGCCTGAAGGCGCACCTGCGTTTCCACTGCGTGCCCAGCAGCAGCGCGGGCCGCGCCTACCTGCACCCGGAGCACGCGCCTCGCCAGGGCGCGCCCCCCGCCGCCGATGGCCTGTGCCTCCCTCCGAAGCACCCAGTGCCCCATTTCGTCGGGGCCGCCCTGGCGGGCACTCTGCGGCCCCCTCCGCAGGCGCCGCCGCCCATCCAGGCCTGCGGAGCCAGGGAGAGCATCAAGCGCGAGGCCACTTCTGCGCTCCCGGCCACCTCCCCGCCCCCCGCCAAGTGGGGGCCGTCCAAAAAGGGCAAGGAGCCCCCGGACCGCACCCTGGACGCGAGCGGGGCCGCCCGGGGGCAAGGCCACTTCCTGGGCATCCTGGGGGGCTCCCCAGCGGGGGGCGGCAGCGGCCTGGCCTTCTACCCGGGCGTGCGCTCGGCTTTCAGACCCGCCAGTTTGGCCAGGACGGCAGCCGCCACCGCGCTAAGCGGCGACGCCTCCCGGGAGGAGGGCGGGGACAAACCCGGGGCGGGTCTGCTGGGAGGGGGCCGTGCGGGAGGGCGCCCTGGAAGCAGGGAGAACCCGGCGGCGGCGGCGGCGGCGGCGGCGGCGGGAGGTTTGGGCCATCACCATCACCATCACCACGCTCACCACCACCATCACCACCACCCTAAGTGCCTGCTCGCGGGGGACCAGCCGCTGCTGCCGCCCCCGCCGGGTTTGCCCTGTTCCGAGACGCTGCGCATCCCTCTGATCCCGGGCCCCCCGGACGAGGCGTCCGCCTTCAAGCACGTGGAGCGAGCCCTGCCCGCTGCGCTGCCCGGAGCCCGGTGCGCGCCGCTGCCCCCGCCGACGGGTTTGCACCTCGATCGCTGCGCACTGCCGGCCCTGGGTGCGAGCGGGCTCAAAGCCTACCCCGCGGGCGAGTGCAGCCACCTACCCGCCGCCGTCATGCCCGCCTTCACCGTCTACAACGGGGAGCTCCTGTACGGCTCGCCGGCCGCCGCCGCCGCCGCCGCCGCCTATTACCCGCTCAGACTGCACTTGGGCGGGCTGCTCAAGGTCCCCGAGTCCCTCTCCTACTTCGGCGGGCCCGCGGCCGCCGCGGCCACCCTGAGCCCCGCCGAGCTGGGCTCCCTGGCCAGCATCGACCGGGAGATCGCCATGCACACGCACCAGCTCTCGGAGCTGGCGGCCGGGAAAGGCCGCGGCCGCCTGGACGCGGGGCCGCTGCCGCCCGCCGTGGTGGCATCGGGGGGCGCGGGGGGCGCGGGCGGCGGCGGCGGGGGCGGCGGCCCGGGCAAGCCCAAGGCGGGCCACCTGTGCCTCTACTGCGGCAAACTGTACTCGCGCAAGTACGGGCTCAAGATCCACATGCGGACGCACACGGGCTACAAGCCGCTCAAGTGCAAGGTGTGCCTGCGGCCCTTCGGCGACCCCAGCAACCTCAACAAGCACATCCGGCTGCACGCCGAGGGCCACACGCCCTACCGCTGTGAGTTCTGCGGCAAGGTGCTGGTGCGCCGCCGCGACCTGGAGCGCCACGTCAAGTCCCGCCACCCCGGCCAGGGCCTGCTCGCCAAGGTGGGCGACGGCCCTCCGGGCGCCAAGCCGGACTACCACCCCCTGGACCCGGGCGAGCCCAAGAGCGACAACGACAGCGACGTGGACGTCTGCTTCGCGGACGACCAGAGCGACCCTGAGGCTGGGGGTGGCGGTGAGCGCGTCTCCTAACCAGGGTCCCTCCCGGGAAAAGTTTGTGTTGGGATAGTGAACAGAGAGAAGTGGGGGTTCTATTCTGGGGGGAGAAGAACTCCTGATGGCGAGAAGCGGGAACTGGTTGACAAAGTCTTTTTTTTTCAGAGGTTTAGAGGTGGCTGCAAGAAACCTGGCTGTCTGGGCAGTCCTGGAGAGCTCCAGGCTTTTGGATCCTGCCCAGGCCAATTGCTCTCGAAGTTTAGGATCATATTAAAGTAAGATTCTTTCCAAAAATCAGGACTTTAAAAACAAAACAAAACAAACAAACAACAAAAACGCTGCGGTACGTGGAACAAATTGTTAAAAATCGGGACCGTCCCGCCTGGTCACTTTACTAAAGTGAAAGTCACTGTACCCTTGAGGGCGCTGATTTTAACTGTCACGTATTTTTAAATTGTTTTTTTTTTTTTGGTTTGTTTTCTGTGCCCTTTGGAACGAGGTTTTAAGTGTGTGTATTAGCATTTCGCTGCCTAGGCAAAAGAGTAGTAACAATTACCCAGTAACAATTGGGTAGGTGTGTCATCCGTACACTTGTTTCCATTTCCTCTGTTCTGTCAAAAACTTCTTGGAGCTTTGAATATATATTGGTAGCAGGTGTACAAATTGGTAAAGTTGCAATTATTTATAAGAGAATAATGACAAATGTAAAATATCTAAAGCATGCATTTAAGAGCATGCAATGTATAATTTTAAAGAGAATCTCCTATTTGGTAGAGTACAAATGTGATGTATGTTGTTTTGTAATGAATGATGTACGGTGGATTCAGTATTTCATCTTGGTTCAAGTTTGTGCAATCTTTAATAAAAATAAAGATACAAATGAGAGTTGTTCACGTAATGATTTCGGCAGATTCTTTAAAAAATAGTTTAGGTTGCAGACAGTTTTCAAAGAGATGCCATCATTAAACAAATCGTGCAACACTTGAATACTTTGATTATTCATAGAATAAATGTTAAATAGTGTTGCAATAGGGAAATATACCATTTTTAATATGTGCATTTCACAGGCTCCCAGATAGCAAGCAGAAAAATTGTTTTCTAAAATCATTTTTAATCATGTTAAAACCTTTAGGTTTATGGGAAGAAGCTAATGACTTAAAAAACATATATTTCTTTGTCAAAAAGAATTATGAAACTGTAGAATCTTTTTGTTATGTACCATTTTGACACAACTTTCATCATTGGGAAGCAAAAACAAAATAAAAACAAACAAAAGGAAACTTGCTTTTATGATTCACACATTTTAATAGTCATACAACAAATACTAATGGAGGAGGATCTATTTTAAAAAATATTTTATTGATTTTTTTACAGAGAAAGAAGGGAGAGAGATAGAGAGTTAGAAACATCAATCAGCTGCCTCCTGCACACCTCCTACTTGGGGATGTGCCTGCCACCAAGATACCTGCCCTTGACCGGATGCCCTTGACCAGAACCAAACTCAGGACCTTTCAGTCCACAGGCTGAAGCTCTATCCACTGAGCCAAACCGGTTTTGGCAAGAAGGATCTATTTTTATTGGATATGCTAATCTATTTGCTCTATGTAGGTTTCTTTTTCTCCATGTACTCCTTCCAATAACCTCATGCTGTGATAAAGGTCCTATTTTATAGAAGTGAAAATATGCTCTTCAAGTCACTGGGAGGCCCATAGTTAGAACAGCAAAGTTAGAAGCAGTGACTTTATCTTAAGGGCATAAAAATGAATGCTAGCTAATGGAGGCCATCCATTATATAATTTTGTGAGTTAAAATTGGAAAGTACTCTTTCCTCTTTCTCCCTCCTCCCACCCTCTTCATACACTGGAGGAGGATTGCTCTGCAGTTGTACAGGAAGTGTAGGATTTGCCATTCCCTCAGCTAAGGGCAGGATGTATACTAAGAGCCCAGTCTGCAGTGCTCTTCCCAGAGGATGGTGGGAAGATTCTAATAAGTTCTGAGAGGTTCTGAGTATGTTCCCTGATGATTTAAATCAGTTAAACATGTCCTATATTTTTGGAATCTAGTGTAGGGCAGCACCCGACTATCTCTCAGTTGGGAACATGGGCTCAGTCATTGGGTGGCTGACAGGGACTTTTTCTGACTCATCACAGCAGGAGGCATGGATTTAGGGGAGGGTATTTGACTTGGTGGTGAGAAAACTTTTGCTGGAAATTAGTGTGTGTGTGTGTGTGTGTGTGTGTGTGTGCACGCACACACACACACACACACACACACACACACACACACGTGTGCATGTCAACTGACCAGAAAATGTTTTCTTTTGTAAAAGGAAGCCTAAAGAGAAACAAAAATATGTGGATTAACATATGGTGACAATGATATGACATTTATTGAGGACTTATTTTGTTCCAGATCCTTATACTATTTGCAATTCCTTCTTCTCCACAGATGATTATTGTGGGCTTGTCTCTCCAGTTTCAGTAATGGCTCCGCCATACAGAACATAAGGAGGTGAACCCAAGCATCTGTCTGTTCAGCCTGAGTTCCAGGGACAGGGCTTCTCACCACCTGCTTAGGATCATGATCCTGCCCGTTGAAGCAATCATTACTTAAAACCAAATTTACCCTCACAGAGAAATATTGAAAAACTTTTCGGAAGTCAGATGGTGTTAGGCATCAGGGAAAGTGGAAAAGGCTGCCTAGATTTGAAACATAGGAACATTTTTTAAAAATGCTTCACGAGTGTGTGTGTCATCCTCGTGCAGAGGGCATATACAATTTTAGTATATGTGCTGCTGAAGTGAGCACAGGAGAAGTTTTTATCAGTTATGAAAATCACGTTTTCTTTTCCTATTTCCTAGCTTAGTACTAAGTCTTATAACTCTTGTTATGTGGAAATAGATTTTAAAGAAATACATTAAAAATAGTTTGGTGAAAGGAGATACATTTAGATGGATCAAGATTTAATCAAGCAAACACCCTCTAGCCTTCTGTTTCCCCCTTTATAAATTGATATTTGTATGTTATAAAAAATAAAAATTGAACATAGATTTAAAAGACTCTTAATCACAAGTCATTTGTAGCTCTCCATAGGTTGTCAGATAACCTTTAAGTCCATAGATGTGCACACTCACACGTAAGTAATGCAATTACTTATTTCTTTTGCAAAAGTCAAATCAGTGATATAAAATCAGTAACAATATTACTTACTTCAAATGGTTCAGTTGAATTAGTGTTTCTCAGATCATTTCTGTCATCTTCTATCCCCTTTTCTCCACTCCCACCATCAACCCTCAACATTTCTCATCCTGATGACCACAGGTAACTTTGAGGGTTTATGCTAAAGCCACTAGAAATTTCCGAGATTTTAACGGAATATTTTGTACCAAAAGATTTAAAAAAAAGGGACTCATGCCTTTTAGAAGAGAAAGACTCTAGATTGTTCAGGCCTGGTTAATTTGGATGTTAAAATAAATCATAAAGAGGTGAGTTAGGCTTGCCTTCACCACTTTCTCACTTGACTTCTTGGGCCAATCTCTCTATTGCTTCAATGGTCTCATCGGTAAAGCCGGTGAAAATAAACAACAGGGTAGTTGTGAAGAGTAAATGAGTTTATGCCAGTAAACTGCTTAGAATCAAGCCTGACACATATTAAGCTCTCAAACAATGTAGGGAGAGTAGACATCAGGAGAGAAGGAGAAGGGAGAGAGGAAAAGAAGAGAAGAGGAGAGAAAGAGTAGAGAGAAAGAGACACAGGTTATAAAATGAAGAGGAGGAAGGAGACGGAGAAGAGAAATGGAGGGAAGAGAAGTGAGTCTGTGCAGAGAGGCTGGTGTGTGTGTGGAGGGGAGGACTCTCTGGCTCCCCTCCTCCCTATTCAAACCACTCAGAGCTAGGAGTAAGGTTAACATTGGGTAGGGTCCAACATTTTCTTTTAACATCCAAACAAGTTTTTTTTTATTTAAGTTATAAACCATTATAATCTTATGGGCCCAGAAGCTATTCTCCAAATGCTAGCTGCCCTCCCTAAGGGTAGCTTAGCTGGTGAGAAATTTGTCCAATACTCCAAAGTTGTGGTTTGGATCCCAGGTCAGGGCACATACAAGCAACAAGCAACAAGTGCATAAATAAGTGTGACAACAGACTGACTTCTCATCTCATCTATCTCTCATCAAAAACTAATAAAATAAAATAACTCTAGCAACTCTGTGACTTCATTTTGAGGACATCAAGGAACAAGATAAAAGTTGCCTCCCTTTTATACAAGCATTAACATCTTTTTTGCAAGGACCCTCCTCTCCCTTTGGTTTATTTCCAGTGCCAGATAAAAACACACATCCATTACAGTAAGGGCAGCCCTTTCATACTTCAGCTAAAGAGAAACTTTTTCAGGTCCCTTACTAGGCTATCTTTCTATTTTGATTTGGTTCACAGAGATTAAGTGAACCGGAAGAAGAATGCTCTTCATCGGTTTTCACTGATTTTTGAAATACGCGACAGTGAAGAGTTTCAAAGGAAAAACGCAGCAGAGGTGAGCGCGGGTACACTTCTCCGGAGCCCAGCGGAGAGCAGAGCGCATGGCGAGCGCTCCAAGTCCTCCAGCTTCTCTGGAAAAAGCTCCTTTGTGCCATCACCTGTCCAGACTCTGTAGGCCAGGAGGCGGGTGGCTGGGGCTCCAGGTTAGAGCTGCAGCTCAGGCGCTTTGGGGGTGCGGGTGCTGAGCTCTCAGAGCGGAGAGGACGGTGATGGGCCGCGAGCCTTTTTGGTCCGAGAGATCCCGTGCACTCATCTTTCCGAGCCTGGGCTGCTATGGAGAGGCGGCTGCGCTGCCCCTTGGGAACCCCTAGCCCAGTGGCGGCCTCGGTTTGGGCTCCTGCTCCGGTGTCATCCAGTCCTGTAGGGCTCTCCCGGGTCACAGCTTGGATCTCTCTCGGAACTAGGGGTTTTGGGGGCTGGGTTGGGGCAAGGATTTGGGAGCCACCCTGGTGTTTAAGTGTCCAATAGTCCGGAGCCCTGCAGAGGAGGGAGACCAGGAA